AATGAAATTCGTCACAACGATGACACTCTACTAGTTTGGTTATTTTCACTCAACTATTAAATTAGTGCCTGCCCATCACAAATCCAAGCAGAATGATATCTAATTCAAAATAACTTGCTGCTGTGTTAATCAAAAACACAGCTTGGGATGGTCGCGCCATCAACATGTGAAAGACAGAGCCAGCTCGTTTAAAGTGACATGCAAATTACTTCCAAAATATGACAACGAGCTGAGAGGAGGAGGGCTCCCTGAATGTTTCTGCAGACATGCTGAGTGACTTTTTCACAGATGCAAACCTTCAGATTTAAAAAGGCATTTTATTTACAACTGCATTACGAAAACAAAGATTTAACTTGAAGGTTTCTGTCTTAACCGTCAACATGAAAATATATTAACTAGTTTTCATGTCTTTTGTTTTATTAATTAGCTTATATAATTTACCAGGGATGTTTAGTATTTTTGATGTGAGGTGGTGTAAAATTAGTTATAGTTCCTGTAACTGTAGAGGAAATATATTACAGTAAGTTTATAAAATTGTGAACAAATCTTAAGAATAAGATTTCTAAAAACATATTCTAAACACAAGATTTTTTACAGCAGAAACAAAATGTGTTTTGATTTACTCAAACGTGGTTTTGGTGTGTGGTGGTTAGACTCTCACTGTTTGCCTGTTGCTACCCAGTACTAATACTCTTCTGAAGGAAAGCGTCAGAACAATTCCTAACAGCAGACAAATTTACTACAAATGTCAAAGCAACATCATTAAAGATCCTGAGGAATCCTGAGTGGCAGCCCAGCTCAAGGCTGAGATATCTGGCAACAGGACAAGACTTAAAAGTCTCACTTTAGGCTGACATTTCACTTGTAGATTTCCTGATCAGAAACCTACTGCTGAATCAGATGCAGTGAACAGAGATTCTGCCTGACAGCTTCCAGGTAGCAACAACGGACGGTTTCAGTACACTGAGCATCCACATGAAAAACCCACCCATCCTTTCAGCTCTGCAGCCTGTGAATCACCTGCCTTATCAATAAGTCAGGTTTATTTCGCAGCTGCAGGGTATATAAAAGAAGACCTGGTCTGTGAACTACAGAAACAATTACTGCCTGTCAAGAGGATCAAAAGCAAACAGTGCTGCACTTTCCAGTTTGGTTTCTCTCTCATGGCAGCTGCTGTTTTCCTCTCTTTGGACAGCTGATTCGAAGCTATCTTAGCAGATCAATAGTGGTTAAGCTCGGGTGAGATGAGGCAAGCCTGAGTGCAAACTGTACCTGAAGGTTGGGCCTAATCTTTTGGTTTGAATAGTAAAGCCACATGTGACTTTAAGAGTTTGCTTTCTGTGACTAGCTCTGATGTTGCTAGTTTTGTAGCTAGTTTCTTAAATGGCCAGCTAGCTACTGAGCTAACTACCATCGGCTGTAAGGTTTCTTATCATTGATTTGCAACATTTTATATTATGATAACATTACCACTATAGCTTAGCTATACTTTTAGCATGATCAAACTCATCATATAACAGTAACATTAGATTTTCACTTACAGCCGCAGCAAGTGATTGATTTTCCTGATACATGTTCTCATCCCTTTTGAAAGGTTATTTTATTATACATGAAAAGATAAAAGAATTTTTCTTCTTATGATGGAGTTAATGACATGTTGATCAGAACAACTGATGCATCTCAGACTTTCGTGTTTTGTATGAATTGTCCCACAGCGATTTACTATGAATCATAACTTATTTATTCTCAGGAATCATAACACTGAATTGACCTAAATTTTGATTGAGAGATAAATTAAATACAGTTAATTAAGCTGCATATTTTTTAAGCCAGAGAGCAGAGACCCCAGACGCAACCATTCAACCTGTCCACCTAAAAATGTAAAGTAATTATTAACTTTTAGAAAAATGATTAAATTTGCTCATTTTTTCTTATTGTTTCTTTGTAGTGATGCTCTGTGAAACAAGGCGTACATAGATGGAATTTAGCCCTGCTTTTTGGAAGATTTGTGCAATTTGCTTGATAAAATTAAGCCCACCTAATTGTATCACCACTTGTCATAAAACTGGGCTATGAAGCTCCTCTGTATGAACCGGACACAGCCACAGATAATCATAATCCTAAGGCAACTTTTCAGCCTCACTTTTGATATCTTGATGTGAGACGTTCTCTGTCAGCCTCCCTGCCCCGGCTGAAAGATGAGGTAGATAATTCTACTGTTGTGTGAAATCTATGATGTGAAAAGATTTAATTAAGATAGGCCAAGGAGTCCTAATTAATTCTGCCTCTTTGCACGTCGGGCTTACTGTCAAGAACAGAGGGAAAAGGCTTCGGCAGAATAAATTACAGGGATGCTGTAACCGTTCTTCAATCAGTCAGAAGGAGGTGATGGAACTGATGCACTGGGTTTCCGTTTTCTCCCAGAGGTTCTGTTGGTTCTTGGTAATGTTTTTCCACATTAACTGAGCCCACTAGCACTTCTTTTGCAGCCGTCCCACCATCTAAGATCAAATCACATTTCAGACCGGGAGTTTATTTTGACTGTCAGTCCTCTGGAGAGACCTGTCAGTGACAAAATGTGAAATTGAAAGCTTCTCTGCAAATGGGCTCTTGCTGGGCAAGTGGTGCTGAACACGGTGACAGTCACTAGAGACCTCTGAACTATCTAAGGCTCCACTCTTCCATTACACCTTCCTTCCTCCTGGTCTCTGGCCTATATTGAATCCTGATTGGCTTTTGTTTAGTCACTCACATCCAGCTGAAAGTGGATGAAATGAAAGGCTGTCCTCCTGGGAGCCATCTTCAGTGACTTTCCTCTCCCACTGAAGACTGAGACAGAAAAGTGAATCTATTTCTGTTCAATTACGACTATTTTTGGCCACAATCACAACCCGTCTGAAGCTTGACATTAACCTATTATAGATGGCTATCGCAGCTGTGCTCCTGCTTCTTGTCCTTGTCCGGCGGGGAAGTACTGTCCATGTTTTTCTAAATCTGGACATTTAACAGCTTGAGGCAAAAGCCTCATTTATCAAGCATTTCTCTCAGCCAAGCTCCATTCCCCCAAGTCCAATATTAATCCCCCAAGCTGCAAATTCTATGAGCTCTCCAGCTTTGGCTAAACACGCAACAACTGTCTTATTATCAGGAGACGACAGGCAATAATGACTGTGGCCTGAGCTAAGCAACTGCTCCTTTGAGCTTTCAAGGAAAGCAGCTAATTAAAGGCTGCTTTATGACTTTTGTCACTTTTTGGACTGGTGATTATGGGCCATTCATCGGGGAAGATTCGTCAGCTATTTGTGTGTGGCACACACCATACATATCATCAAAATGCTTTTTGCTTTATGTTGTGCCAAAGCTGCATATTTCTCCTCAGCAAGCCTCCAGATGCTTCCTCTGTGTCTGCAGAAGGAAATTCTTCAACTTTCTGCACTCTCTCCTCCTGCTAATAAGGACATCTCATCAACAGCATTTCAGAGACAAACTAGGCTGTTTAAAAATGCCGGCTCCTTGGTATTTTGTCGATGATTTCCTGTAATTAAGTACTGTGGAGTGGAGCGTCTTTGGCTCTAAGGACAAGTTCAGTGGAACTAGCTCTGTGCTCTTTGAAGCCAATTTGAATAATGGCTCAGCTGTATTAGCACTCTGCTTGTCTCAAGCATCTTTCCCAATACTCCTCCACTCTTTCAGAAACTATACATTAAAAAAAGAGGGAACGTGGCCCGCTGCCATATTTGGGCCAACTCTAATTGTCTAACTAATCTCCTCAGCGTTAAATGACCCAGAGAAACCGGGTCCCAGAGGGCAGGCTTATCCCGCTGATTGGAGACTTTGCTTTTTGTTTTCCTTGGCATATTAAACCGACGTAGGCTGCTGGTGCAAAGCCTACAAAACTATTGGAAATGTAATTAAGTGCCAGGAGCAGCTTTTAAACGGTTGACTAGAGCAGAAACAAACTGTGCCCTTCAGCCAGCAAAAACTTTAATACATGGGAAATGAGTGGCTCAATCAATAGGCAGGACCTAATTTCTTTTGTTGAGGAAAATTCAATGCAAGGCGGGAGCGGGATGCTCCATTGTGCTGAGTGCCGGCTTTCAGCAGGATAGTCAGAAACAGACCAACGGAGACTGCTTTGCCCGATCCAATCATTCATCAGGACAACTGCATTAGTTTTAAAAACAAATGGACGCTTCAGTCAGAGCTGGAGTTGAACCCCAGAGCTTTGGGATGGGGAGCAATGTGAGAAGGATCCAACATGCTCATAACAACTCGCAATCATGAACAGATAATTATCTCCCAACAGATTCAGAGAGTTCACTCTGCAATCTTTTGTCCATCAGAGGTTTTGGGATCATCAGAAGACTTTTCTCTGCACTGAGCAACTGAAAATGATTCCACACCTTCAAACAGGAGGCCATCGCTGGCAACTGAGTCCATCTACAAAAGAAAAACCCAGCCCAACTATAAAATGTCTCACTATGTTACTGCTGATAAATATTCATGATAGCAGTTTGAAAACCAGCTATTTTTCTCCAATTAAAGCTCTCAGACTTACGGTGTTTTAGAAATAGGTTGTTGCTTTTTGTTAAATTAGCAGATTGTGTTTCTGGCCAAGAACAAAACTGAAACAATACAGAACCGTAGTGCGAGATTCATATCATCACCTGGGAAGCAAACACACGGATAACAAGCTGAGATGAAAATGACGCTTCCTGCCTGTATTTTCTCCAGGTACATGAAGTAATGTTGTAATGTTCACAGAGACAGGAAGGTGCATTATCTGACTATAGACATGGAGCTTCAACCCAACTAGCTGTGCAGAGGAGATCAAAGCAAGTCATCAACAGCAGAAATGATGCAGCGCCTGCCATACCAACGGCACAGAAACAAAATGCAGTGAGGCTAAATCTGGTAGAGAGACGGCCGCCCTCTTCAGAGGTCAGCTGTCTGAGACGTCGCTCTGCAGAAACCCAACGAAGGCAGAATGGAGGACTTACCATCAGGAGGCTGGGCTGGAGTGAAGTGAGATGGTTTGTCTGAAAGAGACACAAACAGACAGAAACAGTTTAGTTTGGGGAAATCTGGAGATTCCTCTGGGTTAAAGCCAAAAGATAGAAAAGAAAGAAAGCAAACAGATTCTCTCTTTGTGCTTTTCTATCTAAACCTGCTGGAACAATGTGGCTGGGCTCTGCAGGGATCAGGCTGAGCCAGTTGGACAGGAGTGAGTTTCAGCAATATCAGCATCATCACTGTGTCGTGACTAGGAGTCGCTTCTCCTAGTCATTCCCAAACATACACCATGACTCCACATAGTGCAAGAGTATAACAAGTATTTGAGAACAGAGGGATTTTTTTTTGATATTCTTGTCTGGTTGAAAAGTTCAAGAAAGACACCAAATGTTCTCAACAATGAAGAAGTAGGGAACAGACACTCAGCTCCAACCCACCTGCAGACACATGTGGAGTCAATCTGAAACCTTCCCCCAGTAATACATCACATGACATCACGCTGCTCCGCTAAGACAATGACATACGGCGGCCCGGTGTGTGGGAGTCAGAACATCAGAGCTGGAGTGTCAAATGGCTGGGAAAGCCTCAGCTGGACGGCCTGCTGTAACCCAAGACCTTCCCAGGTTCCACACCTCAGCCACTAACTGTGAGACGGCCTCTTATTATTTTACATGGCAGGGTGTGAGAATAAATCAGAAAATATAAACTTTTTTATTGCTGCTACACTAAATGATTAGTTTTTAATTATAGGATCCAAAGTATGGGAATAAGCTATTTTCCAACCCCAAAGAAATGTTATATACAATCCGAATAAGTAAAGTGTGTAATTTCTGATATTAGACAGCCGATGTTCTCACTTGAGAGGCAGTAAGGAAGAACGGTTTGTTCACTAGATAATGGTACATTCAAATTACAGCGGATTAAGCAGTGTGGATAGAATAACTGATTGAAAAGCTCTTCATTTTAGCAGCAAATAGGAAGCATCACGTGTGATGATTACATGTGCATTTTGTATAGAAATAAAATATGTCAGGGAGAACAGATAATGCTTCTCCCTGATCAACATTTTGCTCCAGGAATGAATTGATGTGAGGATGTAAACACATTCAGTTCATGACTCAACACTTAATGCTAAATTCACCAGAGGTTTTGTTGGACAAACTGAGTCATGCTTTGTTCTATGGCTTTTATTTGACAGGTCTCTACACAAACCGAGAGAAGGGAAGATAAACTAATTAGGCTCCGAGTCAAACCTGGACCGCTTGTGGCAGCCCAAACTCGTCGCTTCTGAAATCACTCCACCAGTCTCTTTTTGCTATTTTTATCTGAATCGCAGGAGCCTCTAATACTTGAATATGTTCAGGATAAAATATCTTATATCATTTTTGATTAGTTTGAACATTTATATTTTTTTTTTCCCAAAAGTTACCCATTTACTCTCGCCTGGCCATTTCATTTCAGTCTGAACTTTCTCCCATTGATTTGGATTGTCTCCTGTCCATTTTTGACTGAGCCAATCAGTGAACAGGAGGAGTGGTGAAGGAACCCATTGATCTTCTGCTCAGTTTTAGATGATATTCTGCCTATAATTTTAGCAAGGGCAGAATAAGCGAAGGAAACCGTTCAGCCTCCAAATATTTAACATAATGGCCTTGTTCAGATCGGCTCTTCTCTCTTCACAGTGGAGGATGGTTGTTTACAGTGCAAACAATTTCTGGTAAGCTTTTAGCATCTAAGTGCCTCACTACATACGTCACGGACAAATGTTAGTGATTGTGTAAAAATAAAAACCGCCATGCCTCCAGGAAGTGATTGGCCAGTCCAAGGTCCAGACTTACTAGCTAACTTTCTCATAACAATTGGACAAAAACTGAAGAACTGCTTCTTTTCTTTTTTTACAATAAGAGCTTCAAACAGAAATAAGATTGTCAGGCTTAAAGTACACAGGGATTATAATAATAGCTTATAATTAGCCATGACAGATAAGTCCCAGTCCGCTCACTGTATACTCAACTGCAAAGGCATTGTCAAGTACATTTTCCATCTGTGTTCTTCCATTAAGGTCCTCCAGAATCTTCTTTGACATTATAATGACATTGCGCTGAAGACACAGCAGATAAATAAGGGAGCACATAAAGACAGATCTGGTGTTCACCTTATTTGGATTATTTATCCCTCAGGGACAAAAAGAGATGATATTAACAACGTGGAAAACCATGTTAGTATTTCCTTTCAGCCCTTTTTCTTCTCTTTGAGTAGCCGGTGTCCCACCCTATTGTTCCTCCTTAAGTCTGTGGTGAAAACTGCATCTCATAGTAAAACAAAGTGGATAAACAGCCAAAATCAGGATGGACATGGAGAGGAATTTAGTTCTCTGAATAAAGTCACATGCTGACTGCAATCCACTTGCTCTTTACAGGACCAACTCTGTGTTGCTGAATACATATTGTGGCATTTTTATAACATAATATCTTGTGGCTCCTTGAATTGATGTACAAGAATATATTTATCCTGCTTACGCTCCCCAAAATGCTAGACGTTTTCAACAAATGGATGCACTTCCATGGCGATTCCTGCAGAAAGCATCACGATCCAGCCCGCTGGTTTAAAGTGGACCAGGAAACCGAAGAGCCAAGTTCGACCCAGCTGAACCACCATCTGCACCCTGGCAGTCCATCCGGCCGTGTGAGTCACTGAGCAAAGCCCCAGTGAGCCGAACAAACACACCAACACACACGTGCATCAAATGTTGAGCAACCACCCAGATGCCTCTTTCATGTTCTGCACACTGTGTGAGGGATAATGAGGAAGATGCAACACTTCAATTACTTCGCTGTGGCATTCTTTATTCTTCTTTATTTTCTAGAGAGGGTGGAGGAGTGCTCCACCAGCACACAGACCACACTCAGAGCTGAAACCTTCCCAGGACTTCTGTGCTCCCCTTCCCTAGGGCGAGTCACAGCCCAGTTTTAAATTTGGGTTTGCTTAAAATTGCTTGTCAACAGTCGGGGCTTCAGGTTGGAAGTGTCTTTATGAGTGAGAGAAAAAGGTGGCGAGGAAAGAAAATAAAATGAAGATTGGGGAGTAGGTTGGTGTTAGAGGTGAATAATGAATTGTCTGCTGCAGCTGTTTCGCAGTCAATCATGACGATAACTGATATCCATCCAATGGGGGGAGATTCAGGAACGCATCAAAACGTCTGGAAGAAGAAAACTGGCATGAGTGAAAGTACAAGAAGAAGAATGAGGAGCTGCACTTTCCTCTAAGCATGTCTAAATATGCACAAAAAAGTAGAGACAGATAGAGCCCACTCGTCATGTGAGGTGAATCTGAAAGGAAAAGCTTTAGTACAAAGTGAGCCGAGATGCCGGGCGAAGCTAAACGATTTCTTCACATTTCCATAACGAAAGGACAAGATAAGGTCTTTCCATAAACATATCAGCCACTTCCATCTCCCTTTACACCTGGCAGGCCTGCGTAAGTTCCTGGGCCTGTGTGAATGTCACAACACTGCCATCATTCACCCGATATCTCCAGCGAATCAATAAGTGTCTGGCCGTGACATTTACCCACGTGCAAGAAGAGTTGTGTGTGCGCATGTATCTTTTTTGCATGTGTGTCACCTTCTCTTTGCTGCAGCTGATGTATGGTTGGGGAGAATGATGAAGTGAGTGTGTGTCTGAGCAGGCAGGAGAAATTTAAGAGGGGAAAACAAACAAACTGTCTGTATGCATGGACATGCCTCATCACATATGGTGACAACAAAATTTGTAAATCTGAGGACAGCACCTGTTCTACTAAACACACGCATGCACGCACACTTCTATCATACAGAGCTCTTGGCAGCATAATAGAGCTCTTTCGGACCCTTTCAGTTTTTTTCTAACATAATATAAGAGGTGAAGAAGGGCTTCCTCTAACTGACTGTACTAAATCTAATTATGTCTGTTTGGCATGGATAAAGAAACAGGGAACCTATAAAATACTCACCCTCACTGAAGGTAAATGCAAAAAGTCAGAACATATAAACAGGATCGTTAAGGAGTTGCTCATATTGAGATACAGCCTGCTTACTGATGCAGAGGACAGTAATATATAAATTCCCTTCTCACCCACCGTGGGTGGTTCTCATCCTCTGAACTCGGGTCCTCTACCAGAGGCCTGGGAGCTTGAGGGTCCTGCAGTATCTTGGCTGTGCCAAGGACTGCACATTTCTGGACTGAGATGTCTGATGTTGTTTCCTGGGATCTGTTGTAGCCACTGCTCCAGTTTGGGGGTTACTGCCCCGAGGGCCCCGATGACCACAGGCACCACTGTGGTCCTCACCTTCCAGGCCCTCTCCAGTTCTTCCCTGGTATTTCTCCAGTTTCTCCTTTTTCCTGATGTTGCAATCACTTGGTATTGCTACATCTACCACAACGGCTTTCCTCTGTTGTTTATCCACTACGACAATGTCTGGTTGGTTCGCCATTACCATATTACCATCAGTAGTATGGTAATATGGTAAAATACTGTAATATACTGAAATACTGTATATATATATATACAGTCCTACTTTAAAGTACAGAAACCATTTACAGACATCTTGTTTGTTGAATGGAGACATTAAAGATGTTATGTCATGCTGATCATTTTACTCCATCATTTCATAAGTTTGAAATGTGGATTATTTGGATATAAAGGAACTGCCTCTGGTAGGACATCAATTCATTGCTGCTTCAGAGTCTTTTATGGATAATCAAGCTAATGTCAGAAGATAAAAACTGTTTAAATCAACAACTTTTTTACTGTTTTGTTGTTGCTTTATAACATTTAAAAAACCAACTGGTTTACACTGACACAGTGTGATATTGCCTCTCCTGACAAATAATTAAGGACTATTGACAAGAACGTATAAAAGAAACACTGTAAAACAAAGTTCAATGAAAAAGGCCTAAAATCTGCTCCTTCATTAATATATATTATATAAGTGTTTGTTCCTAAGGGTTACCGTTTCAAGTAATGAATTTACATTTCTTAAGGAAGTTATCCTTATATCTGTGTAAAGAGCATCACACCATTCTCACTCAAAGCATATTATCTTGTGAGAACACAAACCTCACATCCCAACTGAAAGAGAATAGAAACAAAAACCATAGCGCCATACCACGAAAGAAATGGAACGCATTTCGGCCCACATTAAACACCATTTCTATTTCCGGTACTTAGTGATCAAATTTAGTTACTTAATGTAATCTGCTGGTGATTAGGAGGTGCAAGTCTTGCATAAGTAAAAGCCCCACTTTGGAGAGTTAAGGAGATTTCACCTTTTGCACAATTTGAACTTGCTGTACTGAAACAGTGTGTAAAGAGAAGTGGAGTGAATTATTCAACCAAAAAGGTAGCTTTTGGATTTATAGTATATATATATATATATATATATATATATATATATATATATATATATATATATATATATATATATATATATATATATATATATATATATATATATATATATATATATATATATACATCTATTTGTTTGTTAAAATTAAGACAAGTACATACTGCTGATTTGTACTTGACCTAAGTATAAATCAATACCTTTCACTCAGTACAAAGCTGTCAGAAGTGACTTGTATGCAGGACCTGTCATTGTGAATATGTGATTCCACTATTCAGGGCTGTAACTATCATAAATAAATAATCTTTACATTCAGAACCATTTGACGAATACTCTCACACACACTGGCAGTTAATGAGCTACTGCTTTCTTATTATACATCGGAAAGATTTGTTTGTAGTGAGAGGACGAAAAAAAGATTAGGATTTTCCTAACCAAAAAAATTACTTTTACTGAGCCACCAAAGGCTTTTAATCTGCATGAAATACTTCACAGTTCAGTCTGTCAAGCCAGAGTCAAGGAAAGGGAGACTTTGACTTTTAGAGATCTGATGTCTCTATTTCAAGGGCAGAGAAAGTATTGAGATGTTTGGTATCCAAGGTTTTGTTAGGGGATTTGCCTCAAAAAGCACATTCAAAGTAAGAACAATGTCACATAAACCAAGAGAAAACCCAACATTTCTGATTGTTATGGATTATGTTTCCAGATAGAGAAACTGTTGTGGTGGCTTAAAACTCAGAGGAAAACAACAAAAAATAGAGTCAAAAAGTGTGTGCTTGAGGTGAGCAAACGTACAGTTATTGAGGAACAGCAGAACGGCGAAGCCCAGCGTGGATGTGGCCAGCAGGATTAGGCAGATGTTGCAGGGGATCATGAAGTAGCGCACCACCAGCGACACTTTGTGCTGGTACCTGCGCTCCTGCTCTGGCGCCGGCGAAGGATAGTGGCAGGCGCTCATGCTCCAGTCCAGCGGCCCCCTCCCCTCCAGAGCGGGGGAGACAACGGGCCGAGGAGAACGCCGGGGGGCGCCCAGGGACCCGTTGGAAAAAATGATGGCGGTGGGGCGGGGGTGGAAATAACAAAAACAAAACTAATTTTAAAAAAAAGAAAAAAAGATGAATAATGGATGCAGTCTCAGCGGCGGTTCCAACAGTGCACTGTCACAGGGACCTGGTGACTGTTTCTGTCAGAGAGTCGCAGCGGAAAGCTTTCAGCAGTTTGCGGGCGGCACATTTTTCACAGATAATAACATCCATTTGGGGCTAAAAGACAGACAGTGTGAGCGGGGACTCGTACAGCACCCCACCTGTCCGAATGACCTCCATTCCCTCAATCCCTGATGGCAAACACCCAAACTAATGGGAATTTAATGTGCAACTATCCGTATAAACTCACAGCACAGACGTGTGTCGATAAGATTTAAGTAGGTGGTGATAATGTGCTTTGCAATTTGTGTTACAGAGCTGTTGGCATGGATCTATAAGCTAGAAATGTGTGTGTTAGGTATGTGGGTGTTTGGGATTGTCAGATATCCACTTGGAAATTTTCCATGGCAGTTTGATGGTAAATCCATGAAAAGAATCCAGTCCTTTCCTCTCTGTGACCCTGACTCGTAATTAGTTGATTGTGAAAGGGGCTCCTCCAACATCCCTCCCTTCAAAAGACTTTCAGACCAAAACAAGATCCTTCGCATGGGTCAAAAGTATTTCTCAAAGCGGGGGTGGCTTTCCAGGTTCCCTGTGGGTGTGGTTTGATGCTCCTTTTTTTAGCTTACAAAAAACTCTTTGCATCCAACGGACTGGCTTCTTTGGTTGATGGTGAAGTACAAAAATCCCTCCAATGCTGACATCCTAACTGGAACAAATTTATATCTGTTGAGGTGGTTGGCTGGGAAGCGTCTGAATATTTTACTAGGAACGCTATGCTCCCAAGAGCAAGGAGAAGACTTGTTTTTCCAACCCGTCGGTCACTACTCCACGGTTCAGTACCCTTTTATTTCAAGTAGGTCTTATGGAGGGGGTAAGCCGCTGCCCCCTTCCCCTGCAGCCCTGGTGGCCCCACTGAGGCCAATAGCAGTTCAGAGGAAGTGTCACAGAGAGGGAAAAAGTTAGAAGGTGACCAGTCCCACTCAGGCGGACGGTCCACAACTGTCACTGCTCCTGATTTTCAACAAAATAAAGACTGAAGACACTCAGTGACTGAGGTAGATTGAGTCTGGTAGAGTGAAAATAGATCAAGACAATCCTTAATTCTCCATTTGTTCTGGCAAGGTCAGGAAAGAAATACTCATCCTCAGGTATCCAACATTTACTCCCTCATCCAGTCCGTTGTATACTCCAGTTCATCCATGAGGTGCATCCACCATTCACTGACCGTAAAAACGACAAACTCGGCAGCAGGTTCCTGGAGCGCTGTCAAATCCCCAGGGTAGCAGGTAGCGGTCCCGGTGTCAGCACGCTCGGTCGGCCAGCCAGAGTGTCGGGGAGTGAATGAGTGAGAGAAGTCAGCGGACAGAAGGAGACAGGCTGCAAGTGAGCGAAAAGGAAGGAGTGCTGGAAGAAGGAAAAGCTGATCCTAAGACTTTGGTCCGCCTTTTGTTTCCTTCCTGTTTTTGTGGGGAAAACAGCAGTGGCATATCGCTGGGCTTCCCAAACACTCGCCTCCGGAGCAGAGCACTGGCTTCGCAGCCCCCAGCCAGCGAAATGGATGAGCGCATAATGAGAGAGCGAGAGAGACAGCGCATGAGAGGGAGCGAGAGAGGGATGGGGGAGTGTATGAGGGGCTGTCTTTCACAAAGGCAGGGGGAGGGGAGGTGTTAGGAGTCAGAGTTGAGTGAGGGAATAAGAAAAAGCAAGCAAGGATAAAGGATTCTGGGAGGAGTATACTAGAGTCTAGTCAAAGAGAGGAGGGTCTGGACAAACCGGCAACATGGCAGCAACATAGCAGAAGACAGCCAAAGACTTGGGAGATGTCAACCAACTCCTCTCTTAGTTTGGAGTCTGATCAGAAGAGAGCCTCATCCACACAGGCTGCAGGATTTTCACAAAGCCTTAATGAGGTAAACTTAGAAACATAAAGGGTCTGCTGAGAGTAGGGATACACTAAGTCAGTCCAGGATTTCCCTTAGAAAACTTGCTAAGCCTGGCGGTCGGGGCGCCAAGGCGATCCACCGTGTTTTGTATTAAAAGATGTTAAGTAGACAGGAACTGTAAAAATATTACTAGTTAATTATATGTTACGGGAAGACATCACCAGTGAAATGCTCTCTGAACTAGTATTAAAAACAACAAATCAAAAAATGCAATTAAAATTCATATCAATTATTTGCACTTCTATTTAATTCAAATTAAGTCAGAGGATTCATAAGGCCCCAGGCCTTCAGGAGCCCATAAATGCTAATATTTTAACAAAGACCACATATATATAAAGGTAACAGCTGTTTATTGAGATCATCAATGCTGCTGAATTTGATTTAATGGTTTCAGCATAATAAATTAAAATATTTTCAAGTGTTTAACATTTATATGTCAGATTTAAAAAGCTGGCAAGTTTACTTTGTAAAAGTTCAAAGTATGTTTTGTTACCACAGCTACAATCTGATGCTATGAGTTTAATCTTTGAGTTTGAGCTCTGTTGTTCACAAATACAAATTAGTAAACTGTAATTATAGTTTATTTCACTAAATCCAACATAGAAGCTCATGCTGATGTTTTAGCAGCAAGAGGGGCCGTAAGTCAAATTCTGCTCCAGGCCTCATACATCCTTGGACCAGCCCTGCATGATGAGTTAAATCCTCTGCACTGTGCAGGTGTGCAACAAATGGGAGATTTGTTCCTGCCATGTAAAGCATGGCGGGCCGTCAAGCCTATAGTATACTGGGGGAAACCCTGCAGTCCTGTATAGAAACTCCAAATAGCCTAAACTTGTTTTTGACCCCCTTAGACAATACAAACAAACAAACAAAAAACGGAGAAACTCTGCATCTCTTTCATACTTGCAAACCAGTATTCTACTAGATAATCTTTGGAAATCTTTTCAGCCTTCCCTCAGTGAATAGATTCTTCTTTCCCACGTAAATTAACATTAAAGCTATTAATCTGCCAGTGATCAGAGTTGATTGAAAAATTGTCAAATGATCGGTTCTGGTTGCTGTTCAACAGAATGCTGCTATTCTGTGATTTAGCATTGGTCAAAATGAAAAATGAAACGGTGCCATTTTATACCAACCAGTGGTCAACTCGTATGCCACTGCGTTGTACATCTTTAAGTTCAAGTTATTTTAAAATTAAAGTTAGTTTCTACATTTTGCTCAAAGTCTACTGTAAAGAAACTTGGAATAATTTGTCATTTGATCACAACCAAAACAAATTAAAATCATGATATAATAGCATATAAACTAATAAAATGATGTACAATTTCATACTTTTTTATGATCGTTCACAAAAATGCTGACATAAAGCATAAACTCGTCCCATATGGCTTAAGGAAGAGGTTTATTTACAGGTTCTAAATGAAAGTTTGAGGCATGAAATGAACCACCTTCTAACTTCATTTATTTCCTGTTGGATTCAAAACTATTATTGTGATTTAAAATAATTGGAATTCGTGGCTCAGAATGCCAAAACAGGCCAAATAATTCTCCAACAAAAGCATCTTTAATGACATGACCAATATTTAGAAGACGATTTGCCCACTTTTTTGAACCACCAGTCCAAAAATATGTTTTGAGAAGATGTAAACTTTCCAGAAGCATTGTATTTTTGCGTTTACATTGTAGCATAACACGACCCTGCTAGTTTAAAGAAACTCCACAACAGCAAGCACAGATGCAAGGCGGCATCAGTCATCAATTATTTATGTGTTTTCTTTCCAACTCCTTCCCTTTCAGCCCCTTCTGGCTCCACCAATGGCTCACACACATTAAATACACATCCACACAGCAGCGCTAACCTGAACACAATCAGCATCTCAAGAAAGATCCGCAGCTCTTACTGTCAGCGGCTCTCTGTCTGCCTGCAGCCCACATGGAGGCATCACAGTAACAGGTAGGCCATCGTGTTTCACACTCATTTATCTCTTTGACAGTGAGTTTGTTCCCAGGCCCACGCTGAGCTCGGTGGAGCAGGAGGATTAGCCTGCCCCTCAGGGTCAAATGTTCAACACCCCTCCATCCAAGGAGAGGAGTATCTCAGCTCTATTCTAACACAATACCAGCAGACAGTCATCAGGACTCAAAACAACCTGATTGATGAGTGAGAAGCAAAAAAGGTCCATATGCTCTTTCTGAAACTTTTTTCTAATCTCTCTGTGTTTTAAATACTTAACAAATGCATGAAGCAATAACAACACAGAGCAGAGAAAAAAGCAACATCAATCATGTTAAATTAGAAACAACGTGCAGCTTCTCCCAGCAGAGGGCAGCCAGGAGACGCTTGCCTCTCCCTGCTGCCACGACCCAAATAAAATCTTCCATTGACATCAAAGCTCAGATGCTTTGATCCATTTTTAATGCCACAAGTATACCAGAAGGTTAACATCTCTCTCCGAACGCTTTGAAATAGCAATTTCCATTAAGGGAGCCAAAGGAGCTGCTTTCTTGTTTAATGGTCTGGCAGGAGAGATATCTGTGTGCCCAAGCACATGCATTCGTGTGTGCGTGGGTGTGTGTGCATGTGTGCGTGTGTGTGAAATGTGTCCTGTTTAATAACTGATTGGCAGTTATGCTTCAATCAATGGTTGCTGTGTGAGTGTGTGGGTGTGTGTGTAAAGCTGGCCAGCATTCTTTACAAAAAGCAGTTGCTGCCCTTGCAGAATAATGGGATTTTTCCTTAACAGTCTAAATGATTATATGTTGAAGACAAATGAAAAAAGAAAAAGTTTCCACTGACATTTACTTCATAGCATCAAAAGGGAGGATATTTAACTTTTCTTTTGCATTTTCCACACAGAAAGTTAGGAGTTATGAGCTGTTTGGTTTGTTTTTCAATGCAGGATCTATATCGCTCCCTCAAATAAAAACATGTTCCAAATCTTCCTCTTTTGATATACCTGCTGAGTTTTATCAGGCCATTTTCTCTGAATGCTATGGTCACATAAAATCTCAGAGTTCAATGGCGGCAGCAATCAGCAGCCTGAACAGCAAATTTACATCAGCACCTTTCAGAACTGCCATGCTGATTCACAGGAAGTAGCTTGCAAAGAATTGCAAAGGTGAGTACACACTCGCTGGATGAATGTCTGAAAAAATAGAAAGCATTACGTAGTCTGGAAGAAATTTTATGACAAAACGTTACTGAAACTATTTTGACAGAGCAAAATGTTCTATTTTTTTCTACAATTCCTCCTGAATGTATTACTAGCCCTTCAACAGGAGAATTCATTTCAGTTTATTGTGACTTTATGTGATAGATTGACAAAAGTAATGCAGAAATATTAAGTGGAAGAAAAATTATACATGTTTTTTTTTTATCTTGACAGTGTGATGTGCTCTGGAGGAGCAGAAAAGGAGAAAAAGTCTGATAATATGATAACTATTAATTCAATTCAACTATATTTTATTAATTCCAATGTGATATTAAATGCTGTTGGAGCTTTTATTACTCAAGCCTTTTCAAAGAGTTGTGATACAGATGATGACAGCTGTGAGTAGCAATTGCTGCTGAAGTCTGAAGGACCCGAGTGGGATGGCATATTCAAAATATGAAGCTAAATCAGATAAAATGTGTTTGTTCTATTTTGCAAAATAGAATGTCCAAATATTCAAATGAATGATGAACATCTTTAGTCAAACACAGGGAGGGGTCTCCAACCTCTGGCTCTAGAGCTACCAACAGTTCTTCAGACCAAAGTTCAACAATCCGACAGACCTCCTCTCCAGGACCCCTGAATAGACCTTGCCAGGGAGGCTTAAGAGTGTGACCCCTCTTCCGTAGGGAAGTGTTTCTCCATGGTCTCTTCAAATTCCTCCCACACCCGAGATTTTTCCTCAGCAACCACCCGAGCTTCGCCTGAAGGTACCCGTCAGCTGCTTCTGGAGTCCTTTCTTCAGCCTGACAAGCGTCCCTCACTGAAGGTGTCCACCAACGAGTTCGAGGATTGCCGCTGCTTTTTGTCTTAATACTGCAAAGTAGGTGGTTTTATTAATGTTATTGTCTATAAAATCTGGATGTTTCAATAGAGAACATTATATCAATTCATGCCAAAATTAATAAATTAAAACCTAAAAAAGTTTTTTTTCAAATTTAAATACTGAGACAAATTTCCTGGAGTAGATGTGAAAATAAGCATGTTTACTATTATGAATCAGTTTGTAATTTTCAATAATGCATAGTAAAAATCCTGCTCTGCTGTTAAATCCTCCACAGCAGGATTGTGTGAGAGGGTTTAAAACAGGAAAAAGATGTTGTCAGCGAATGCACCGCCACCCATTATAGTGGCATGCCATCCATTTTTCAAAGTGGGCGCTATCAAAAGCGAGGCTGCTGCCATCACTCATGGGATTAGAGTGATGGCTGTCCATTGTAAACGAGCATTTTAATGATATTGATTACAAGGATGAAGTCTGTGAAAATTGAGCACAGATTTGGTAATTGCTGGTCAGTTGGCCCAATCCACTGCCTGGATCCGTTCATTTCAAAGACAGTCAACTGTTCTGTCGTTTTGTGCTTTATGGCACAGAATATGTATAGATCATAACAAATCAGGTTTAACTACATTTACTAGAGCATGCAGAGGCCATTAGC